CCAAAAAACGAATCGATTTTAGAAACAAATTTTTCCGTTGTTACCCAGGCCTAATTGCACATGCCTACTTGTCATATGTTCCATAGTTGATGTTGGTTGGTGGTGGTAGACCTGGTAGTTGGTGATGGAAGGGTTAATGTAAGTCTTCTTTCTAAGGGGCTGAGTAACAATTTACAGGTAAAAGCAATTAAGGGTGGAGGTGTGCAGGAGATGGGTTGCAGCTGGGTGTTACTGGATTTAAGGAGCTAACCTTGAGTCTGATCTTTGGGAAAAAAGTATTTGTTGCATTTTGGTGGTGGGTGGTGCTGGTTTTTCCCCCAGGTCTGTTGGATTTTCGGTATCCTGACCTGTCTCCTGTAATCTTGGAACCCTGGAACCTTGAACCTTTGGACTGGCTTTGACTACGGTATAGACTCTTGATCCCTGGACTCTGTTATTGAACTCTTGGCGTTTGACCACTGGACTGGACCCTTTTGACTACGAAGTTATTTTTGCTATCAGTTTTTGTTTATTCTGTAGCTGAGTGTTATCTTTGTGTTTTATATTTTGGTCTATTAAAACAGCCAGCAAGTAAGTGCTGTTTTAATTGAACTGTTTGATAAAACTGGGAGTTTGATTAATCTCTACCTAAATAGGTAGAGCCCTGGCAACGTGACACTACTAATTACTCATTGGGAGCTGGAGACTTTTGCAGTCAGGGATGAAACCCAACAGCTAAATCAAAATCAGCTTCATTCTCAGATAGCTGTTGTGGGAACAGCGGTGAAAGGTCCTTCTCAGGCATGTGCCTCTCTTCTGAGCTTAATTCAGAAGAGATGCCACATCCCCAAATCCAAGAGACCCTGGCCCAGCAACTGAATCGCCATCCCCATTCCCTCATTCATGAACATCAACATGAACATTAGATACCACAACAGGCTGAACAGGCCGATATACAACAGTGTCAGATGGAAAGGAGCAATAGAGTTGGGCATCATCTGCATACAGATGATATCGAATTCCAAAACTTTGGATGATCCCTCCCAGCAGTTTAATGTAGATGTTAAATAACATCAGGGATAATAATTACCCCTGTGGAACTCCACATTCCACAGGTCATGGGGCCGAACAGGACTTCCCCAACACCACCTTTTGGAGACATCCCATAAGGAAGGACTGGAACCACTTCAATTTCCAAGGCCCATCCCTGTCAGTTGCTCCAGGAGGATATCATGGTCAATGGTACCAAAAAGCCACTGAGAGATCTAGGAGGACCAGAAGGGTGACACTCCTCCTGTTCAGTCCCCCTGAAGACCATCCACCAAGACAATCAAAGTGGTTGGCATTCCATGGATCAAGTCATGTCCAGTGTCTTCCAAGTAGTGAAAAACACACCTGTGCACCAAGAGAATAAGATACACCTGCGATTCTACGAGGGTTGAATGAAAAGTAATGCCTCCACCTTCGTTACTTGGGTTTGGATTGGAATACAGGGTTAGTCAAAATGAATAGGCCAATAAGAAAATTAATTTTAGACGAATGTATGTTTACTGTAACCAAACCACAGCTACGTAGCGACAGATAAACTATCAAAGTTTCTTTTGATCAACACACATGTACGTTAATGCCGCTAGGCGTCGCTAGGTGCCCCTCCGCATTGGCACAACAGTGTACGCGAGTACCTCAACTAACACCTTCCCAGACGTTGGATTGGCCGTGCTGGAGTGACTGATCTTCCATTCCTCCTGTGGCCCCCCAGGTCCCCCGACCTCACACCATGCGACTTTTCTCTCTGGGGGTATGTGAAAGACACTGTGTTCCGACCTCCATTACCGCTGACCTTGGACGACTTAAAACAGCACATATGTGCTGCATTCGATGCCATTACGTCGGATGTGCTGCAACGGATGTGGAATGAACTGGACTATCGCTTGGACATCTGCCGTGTCACACGGGGCGCCCATATCGAACATCTCTGAAGGTGAGACAAAACTTTGATAGTTTATCTGTCGCTACGTAGCTGTGGTTTGGTTACAGTAAACATACATTCGTCTAAAATTAATTTTCTTATTGGCCTATTCATTTTGACTAACCCTGTATTTTAATAAATCAAACACAGAAATAATCCTCAGAATGTGCTCTTTACCTACCGCTATAATCACCAGACAATTGGATACGTTTCTGCCAACTATGGACAACCACTATTCACTTTTCCACATAATCACCAGACAATTGGATACATTTCTGCCAACGAACAAGTTTTCTGAAGCCGTCACGGAAGAAGTCGACACTCTGCTTCCGCAACCAGCGTCTCACAGTTGTCTCAACATCTTCATCAGAAGCATAATGATGTCCCCACATCAACACAATCATCATAAACAGCTGGCATTCCCTGATGAATCTCCTTTGGGGTGACACCTTCTGCTGTCAAGAATTCAATTACTGCATGTTGCTTAAGTTGCATTGACCAAACGTGTGCGCAGGTTCCATACTTTACACTTTAACAGCACAACTGTTCAATGTGAAGGCTTCCCACCAAAACGGAACTGTAGAGGAGAGTCTACTGAACAAGCTAGTACCTGCTGCAGTACTGCCATCTGCATTTAGATACATTGTGATGTTTTTCTCAATTTTTATTGATGTATATATTTTTATATGGCATCGAATTGTGCCAACTTGTTTGCCGCCCTGAGTCACCTTCGGGCTGATATGGGAGGGGCAGAAATGGCGTAAATAAAATAAATAATAAATCTGTTGAGGAATTATGAAGGTGGAGGCATTACTTTTCATTCAACGCTCATATGATGAATCTCATTTTTGGAGATGTCTATACAAGAAAAAAAATTGAGTGTTAAAACTGGAGAAATAAAGAATGTATACTTTTGGAAAATTTACACCAACTCTCAGACTTTGTGCTGTCATGCGCTGGAAAGAGTCTGTAGACAGGACGTGTTTTCTATATGCCCAACAGGACGCCGGGGGTGCCTCGGGTGAGAGGCCTTCTGGATTTCCCTATACAAAGTCTTTAGAAGCTTAAAGGTTTAACAAAGTTCTTTATTATTGCTTAGGTCTTCAATAAATCAAACAAATACTTCAAGGCTTTGAATCAACCGGTGGCTTTCTTAATCTTGTCCACAAGGGACAGGCAACTATCTTCATGAACTGTTTCTTCACTATCAGGGAAATCCTTGACCTCTATCTGGGCAATCTGTCTTAGGCTCTGCTGGCGTGGGCCCCTACACCCGGTCCAAATTGTGTTATGGCTGCGGCGAGTGGTCCTTACCAAACAGAGTCCTTTTGTAGATTTCCAAGAGGAAAGAAGGTCTTCAATTCCCAGCGAAGGCTGGCTGTAAAACCGTGGAGCTGTAATTCTCCAGCAAAGAGCTGGCTGTAGAGCTGTGGGACAGGATCCCCCCCAGCAAAAGCTATGCTTCTCTGTAGAGCTGTGGGACTGGATCCCCCCAGCAAAGCTGTAAAAGACAAAGCTTTCTACAGGTGGAACTGATTCACTTCCTGTATGAAAGGCTTCTCTGTGTAAACTGAACTGGAGGTCCCCTTTTTCCCTCCTAAACCCAGAAAAAGGGACGGAACTAAAGAACCTAATGATAATTGATGGGTCATTGGCCCTATAACTGCAAACTAAGGGAAACCACCTTATTTCAAAACGCATGGAACTTTGGAATACATGCAAACACTCAAAGAATAAGAAGCAAGTTGGAGCTCCTGGTACAAACTTTTATTTTAAAAAACCATGGCAATTATTTCCAAATATATCAAATGTGTGTATTCCTTCATAGGATGACAACCATATGAAAAACTGTTTCCTTTCTTGTATGGATCTGATAAGATGTGTGGTTACTGGTAGAATTAAGAGGGCATCTACATTATTGAATCAATACAATGACATGGTAGGCCAGATTTAGCCTTAAATTGGTCACATAAGATGCAGAAGAGTATTTTTTCCCCTCACATGAAGTTTGGCTATAGTTTCCCCTTTTTGTGAACCTTTTTATGTGTAGCAAGGTTTGAGCTTTGACTGAATCGCTGTCCACATTCAGAGCATTGATATGGTTTCTCCCCAGAGTGGATCCTCTGGTGACAAGTGAGTTCTGGCCCACTTCTGAAGCTCTTTCCACACTCGAAGCAGGGATACGGCTTCTCTCCAGTGTGGGTTTTCCGATGTATAGAAAGGGCTGCGCTCTGAGCGAAGCTTTTCCCGCACTCCAAACACGTATAGGGCTTCTCTCCAGTGTGGATTCTTTGATGGCCACTAAGGGCCTTCCCCGTTTTAAAAGCCTTCCCACACACGGTGCAGGGATAAGGTCTCTCTCCTGTGTGGATTCTCCGGTGGACGGTAAGGTGGCTTGTCTGAGTAAAGGTTTTTCCGCATTCAGCACACCGGAAGGGCTTCTCCCCCGTATGAACTCTCCGGTGCACAACGAGGTGTGGTCTCTGATGGAAGGTCTTCCCACAATCAGAGCATTCGTATGGCTTTTCCCCCATGTGCACCCTCCGGTGTACAACTAGGGTCGACTTATGAGCAAAGCGTCTTCCGCATTCAGGACATGCATAGGGTTTTTCTCCGGTGTGAACCTTCTGGTGTGATTTGAGGGCACAACTACTACGGAAGTTGTTTCCACACTGAGGACATGTAAAGGGTTTTTCCCCAGTGTGGATCTTCAGGTGCTCTTTCAGACCCGAGTCATAAGCAAAGCTTCTCCCACACTCCAGGCATTTATAGGGTTTCTCCCCAGTGTGAATTCTGTAATGTTTCTGTAGATGTGTCCTCTGAGTGAAGCTCTTCTCACACTGCATGCATTTGTATGATTTCTCCTGAATATGAGTCCTTTGATGGGAACGTAGATTACTATTCTGAGTGAATCTCTTCCCACACTCCAGGCATTTATAGGGCTTCTCCCCTGTGTGCGTCCTTTGGTGTGAACGCAGACTTCTACTCTTAGTGAACCTCTTCCCATACTCCATGCATTTATAGGGTTTTTCCCCAGTGTGAATTCTGTGATGTGTCTGTAGATGTGCACTCTGAGTGAAACTCTTCCCACACTCAAGGCATTTATAGGGCTTCTCCCCTGTGTGTGTCCTTTGATGTGAATGTAGTCCTCCACTAGCAGTGAAGCTCTTCCCACATTCAAAGCATGTATAGGGTTTCTCCCCTGTGTGTGTCCTTTGATGTGAATGCAGTCCTCCACTAGTAGTGAAGCTCTTCCCACATTCAAAGCATGTATAGGGTTTCTCCCCTGTGTGTGTCCTTTGATGTGAATGTAGTCCTCCACTAGCATTGAAGCTCTTCCCACATTCAAAGCATTCATAGGGTTTCTCCCCAGTGTGAATTCGGTGATGTCTCTGTAGATGTGCTTTTTGAGTGAAACTCTTCCCACACTCCAGGCATTTATAGGGTTTCTCCACAGAATAGGCTCTTGGATATGAATGTAGACCTCCGCCTTCAGTGAAGCTCTTTCCACACTCCGATTTATTCTCTGTACGAATTCCCTGATTGCAAAAATGTACAAACACTTGTTAAAATATGAAATGGAAAAAGAACAAGCAAGAGATCATATGGTTACATGGGCCCAAAATATAGCTTCCCAAATGCATTTGGAATAATGAAGGAAAATGTGGACAAAGGGTTTGAAGTCTACTTTGAGTAATGAGTAGATAGAAAACTTTTACAAGATAGAGATCTTATGTACCCACTGTTGCCCAGGTATGCGTTTTCTAATTCTATTTATGAGAAATACAGTGATACCTTGACTTAAGTGTTCGATTTATTCAGCGACCAAGTTGTTAACTTAAAAGACTATTCCCTCAAAGCAAATTTTCCCACTGAAATGCTATTAATATGTTTTGTCTCCCCGACCCACATTTTTGTTACATGTTTGTAAGAAAATGTACTTTATCAATAACAAATAATGTATAGATGCACATTTGCATGGAACAATAAAAAAGGAAGATCAACTTTTTTAGAATGGCAGAAGCACAAAGTGAAGAGGCAAGGGCGTCCTTTTCTTCCTACTGTACTTATTCCAGTCTCCTTCCCTCTCTTGCTCTCTCTCTCTTCATGATGCCAAACATTCCAGGAATAAAAACCAGACAAAATCAAGTATCCCAAAGGTCCTCAAAGTGGGCCAGAGCAAAACAGATAGCAATCTCCCAATGCGGACAAGAGCATGGAGGCACGAGGCATAGAGGCTGCTCCCCTGGAGCCCTAAAGCCCTGTACTCTTGCACTAGATCTTCCTATGGAGGAAGCACTTAACTCAAAATGCTGCTCATATGTCAAAGCAAAAGCAGGGCTGAGCAACGTCTCTTAACCTAAACCTCTATTTTAAGTTGGGATGCTCTTAAGTTGAAGTTCCTCTTTACTCAGTGTTAGCTTTACAATGGTATGATTTGTTCTGTTAGTGCTAGCCATGGCCTTCAGGGCTATGGTTTTTCATCTAATCCTAGGTCTCATGCTGGGCCTTCAATACATGTCCCTACAGTGGTCAGAGGACTGCATACCTACATATCTATTGTCCAGTAACCAATCCTTTGTATCTATAATCTGCCCTCTTGTGGTTGCATCTGAACACTACATATGTATTTCTTACTTTTGGGGGTCTCACCCCAAAACAACGTGGCTTTTGGAGTTGCTGAAACCTCACAATTCTTTTAAGTTGGGTAGAGACAGGTATGTGTGGCTAGTTTGGTCCAGATCCATCAAGCCATGTAGAAGCGTTTGTGGAACAAGCAAACATAAATACATGCAGTGCTCAAAGGCAACCAGAAGAGGGAGTAAATAGATATAGAAGATTAGCTTCTGGCCTATAGGTATGTGTGTATGCAGCACTTAGGTGCAGCCACAAGAGGTCGGTATACGCATGGAAAGGAGCTGATGTTGGAAGACAAAGTCCCGTTTTGTTTGAATTGCCGCACCAGGGGGACAAAAAAACGTAGCCCTGAAGGCCACAGTTGGGACACACACCCCATAAGGAAGAAAGCAATATAATGAAGATGTAACCTTAGGAAGGGGTATCCGGAAAAGGGGTGCGCCTAGACCTTACTCAGAGGCCGAGAGAGTGTGACTCCCAAGAAAAGGCCTGAGCTGGTGCCATTTAGGTGGTTCCTCCCTGGAAAGACCCAGCCTGAGCCCCCGTTTGAAGCAGAAAGCCACGGAATTGAAGGACATGGTCTGCACCCCTTCAACAGCCAAGGAAGCAAAGTGGAGCTGATGGCAAAACTTGCTCTGAGGCTGAGAGGGTGTGACCTGGAGCCCAAGGGCTTCCACAAAAGGTGCATCAGGTCCTGGTCCCTACCTTCTGATTTGGGATTAGAGAGGTGCTTTCGTTCTGATCTGTGAGGGTCTTGTCCCTCCTTGGTCGCCTCTCCACATCTCCTCCTCCTCCATCCTTTGTTCTCTGCCGAGAGGATCTCAAGGACATCCCATGTGACCCATGAGAAGGACTCCTCTTCTGATCATAATCTGAAGGAAGGACAAGAGAAGAAGAGCAGATGGTGAGTGTGGATGATCGACATCCCATGTGACCCATGAGAAGGACCCCTCTTCTGGCCATAATCTGAAGGAAGGACGCGAGAAGAAGAGCTAAGGTGAGTGTGGATGACAGACATCCCATGTGACCCATGAGAAGGACTCCTCTTCTGGCCATAATGTGAAGGAAGAATGAGGAAGGAAGAGCTGAGGGTGAGTGCGGATGACAGACATCCCATGTGACCCATGAGAAGGACCCCCTCCTCTGGCCATACTCTGAAGGAAGGATGAGAGAGGAAGAGCTGAGGGTGAGTGCGGATGACTGACATCCCATGTGACCCATGAGAAGGACCCCTCTTCTGGCCATAATCTGAAGGAAGGATGAGAGAGGAAGAGCTGAGGGTGAGTGTGGATGACAGACATCCCATGTGACCAATGAGAAGGACCCCTCTTCTGGCCATACTCTGAGGGAAGAAGAGCTGAGCGTGAGTGTGGATGACAGACATCYCCTGTGACCTATGAGAAGGACCCCTCTTCTGGCCATACTCTGAAGGAAAGAAGAGCTGAGGGTGAGTGTGGATGACAGACATCCCATGTGACCCATGAGAAGGACCCCTCTTCTGGCCATAATCTGAAGACAGAACGAAGAAGGAAGAGCTGAGGGTGAGTGTGGATAACAGACATCCCATGTGACCTCTAAGAAGGGATTCCTCTTCTGGCCATAATCTGAAGGAAAGACGAGGAAAGAAGAGTTGGTGGTGAGTGTGGATGACAGACATCCCATGTGACCATGAGAAGGACCCCTCTTCTGACCATAATGTGAAGAAAGGATGAGGGAAGAAGAGCTGGTGGTGAGTCTGGATAAGAGATGTTGTTGGCAGCCATTGATTGGTGGCCGTGTTTGACTAACTATGCAGTAGATTCTCCATTTTAATGATTGGTTGACCCTAGAAAATGGCCCGGAGGACCTCCAAGGGCTAGAAAAGAGTTTCCTCTAGAAATGTCTCTGTCCTTCAGTGCAACCCTGTCAGGGAGCACATTGTTCTTATTATAGTGGCCTTCAATGGTCCCTTCGAGGATGAGAAAAGACAATTATGCAGTAGATTCTCCACTTTAATGGTAGGCCGACCCTAGTATTAAGTCGGAGGACCTCCAAGGAAAAGAATTCCCTCTAGAAATGTCTCTGTCCTTCAATGCAACCCTACCAGGGAGCACATCATTCTTATTATGGTGGCCTTCAATGGTCCCTTTGAGGATGAGATAAGACAATTATGCAGTAGATTCTCCACTTTAATGGTAGGCCGACCCTAGTATTAAGTCGGAGGACCTCCGAGGAAAAGGGTTCCCTCTAGAAATGTCTCTGTCCTCCATTGCTACTCTATGGAGGGCCACATCAGCCTTATTATGGTGGCCTTCAGTGGTCCCTTTGTAGTTGTAAGACTGAACAAATACTCCTGAACATATGGTGAAGTAACCCGTGACACCTTTTCGCACTCCATCCCCATGATATTATTATTATCATCACAAAGGCTTGATTGCCATCCATTGGGGGTGCCAGGAGCTTTCCCTGCAGGGCAGAATAAAGGCGGCCGGGGGTGGGTCTCCCACTCAAAGCCACGTGCTGATTCCAAAGCTCATGTATCCCATTATCCCCAGGCTCCATTAAATATTTGTGTCACAGCTACAAATTTAAATACAACAAATTAAAGTTTCATTTAAAGCTAAATATCTATTGGGATCTTCCAGGTGTCTGGAGATACAACAAAGCAAAAGGGAAATCCAAAGGAATGAGACAATGAGAGAGAGAGTCCTGACCCGGAGAGGCCTCCTGGCCTTGATCCTCC